AAATTGTAGAAGGTTCTCGTTATCATAATGACTTAAATACTTACAAATATAAAAAAAGAATACAATTACCATCTTTAACTTAATTTTTTTATTCTATTATATTTTTTATTAAAAGTATTTAAAATGGCTTCATTACTTAAAACTTAAGTCTTATCTTTTTCAATATATTATAATATTGAAAGTTCACAAATTTTTTTGTTCTCAGCCATATTTTTATTTTCCTGATGGCAAAAAAACTTCTTTCGCACGTAGCACAGAACTAATAGGTATAATGTTAAAGCAAGTTGTATTATATTATAAAAATTAAGAAGTACTTGATGTGGAATATTCTATTTAATATCTTCAATGTCAGATTCAACTAGATGGTTCTTTGTAACCATCATTTCCGATCTTAGACTTTGTTGGCAAATATTTAAGAACGGTAAGTCCTATAAAATAATCATTTTATTTATAATTTTATACAATAAATTAGTATCTACGGAATATTTATAAAATAATTAGATTTCAAGTAATATTAAAAATACCTTATAATGATCAATAAGCTGAGTATTCCCATCATAGTTTAGTTTTATAAATTCATCAACCCCAACGGCAAGAGATAAGTTTTCTTTGGAAAACAATTTTTTTTAAATTTCGAGTCGAGTACTTTAAAATATATATTTATTCTAAAACAATCATCAGCCACAGAAGTTTCTACATCCATTGCTTCAGATATTGCACCAGTAGTCGTGTTTACTAAAAACTGAACCAAATGACTAGGTCGTTGTCTCTTTTCCTTTTTGGCTCTAGTTAAAAGAAAACATAAGAAATTTAAATTAAAATGTTAGTGGTAAAAATTAATAAATTTTCGTAAAAATTACCTTTCGCTTGAGATGATATACCTATCAATTGAAATACTGTGTACTTTGGAAAATGTTTGTATTGATGTTAACATACTAAAGAAACTTTCAGAAGTTTAAGAGTCTTCAATTGATTTTATCACACTGTTAATTAATTTAGCTGATTTTCCTAATTCAGCATTTTTATCTTGTAGAATATTACTTAGTACTACACCATAGATAATATCTATGTACTACATTAATGCTAGACAATACATGGGT